AGGACAAGGTGATTGAGTACTTGCATGGCATGTTCTAAGCCTTGGGTTTGATCTTCAATGGGGGGGGGGAGTGGATGGTGAGAGGGAGAAAGAAATCAATTTTCTCTAGAAAAGAACACATTTGTCTTTTTTGTAAGGCTGAGACCTTCCAAACAATTTCCACCAAGACATAATAATATTTTCTTCTTCCCTTTGTTCATCATATTGTCCCTTAAATGAGTTAAAAATCATAAGTCTTTTTTTTTTTTTTTTTTTGGTATTGGGAATTAATCCCAGGGGACACTTAACCATTAAGCCACATCCCTCCCCAGCCTTCTTTTGTATTTTGAGACGAGTCACCCTGAGTTGCTTAGGTCCTTAGTAAGTTGCTGAGGCTGGCTTTGAACCCTGGATCCTCCTGCCTCAGCCTACCATGTGGCTGGGATTACAGGTGTATGCCATCATGCCCAGCCAGATCATCAATCTTAAACCAGAAACAAAATAATGTAATTTTATTAGGATAGTCATTTCACTTTATGCGCCAATGTGATGTCTGAAAAGTTAGGCGTGTGAAGTTTGTGTAAGGGTGGCATCCTAGTCCAAATACCCAGCTTCCCTTCTTCCTGGCCAAGCAAGGGTCATGGGCAAGTATGGGGTAATGGCCTGCTTATTCTCCTGCCAGAAGATGAATTGCTTTCCTTCCCTTACAGCAAGAGAGCCTTTTATACTTTTATACTTTTGTGATGTAAATTAAAAAGGAGAGTTTTATTAGTGACAATTTAAAAACACATCTATCCATTCAAAAGTATAAAATGCCYAGGATAACTGCAACACAAAGAAAAATGTGTATTGATGATAGCGATTTTGCTAAGATTTTACCTTACCAATTTCTAAGTGTGAAAAAATGCTTCTATAGCTACCTATTAATACAATTTTTATTCATTTTTTCCCTATAAAACCAATTAGTTGTGTGTAGACCTCTGATAGATTGTGGTCATAAAGCTGCCACATATGTGACAGCCAATTTAGTTTTCTTCTTTCTCCTTTTCAGTTGTAGCCTTGTCACAATAGTCATTTATTTCATTACTGCTGTCTTGTTTTGCCTTTCTTTTGGCTGAGAAAATAACCTTTGAATTAGGAAAATAATTTCATTTAATAAGAAGGGGGACAGCATTTCTATTTTAAGTTAATGCTGCTACTTAGCCACTAGGCTATGCTAAAGTACAGTCCATTTGTTAAGAACGCTATCTCTCAGCTATGCACAAAAGCAGGAAATAAATCTGAAAGGAGGATGTGAGTCATATAATCATTCAAAATCTAGCTGGTAATTCATTTAACAGATTTATCTAACAGTTTCAATAATCGGTTTTATATGCAACACTCCAAATGAATAAATGAATCTAATATATGTCTTGTGGCAATGCTCAGTTTGGTTTTAAAAGGATGGGATCATCATTAGGCTTCTTTTGCCCAAATTAAATATCCATTTTCATTTGCATGAAGTTAGCCCAACTTAAAAAAAAGCCATAAGGTATACTTATGAACTGATTAGTTTTCAGAAATATGAGCTTTAGATCAGATATATTTTGCTTTCTGCTTCAAAAAATAGATCATCTAAAAAATGCAGTTGAAAACCACACACCATTTAATTTATTTAAGATTTTTTTTAACACTAAAATTATGCTCCTTTACCTGTAAATTGTGTTTAAAATCTTTTAAGTTTAAAATTAAGTGCAGCTTATTCTAATATTTACACCTTTTCCCTTTAAAACTGCAAGGAGCACATGGTTAATCATTTTCATTGCTGTTATTCATATTAATAATATCCATCCTCAATTACATACTGTGGGAGACAYTACGGCTTCAAACAGGCCTAACAAGCTCACAGTGCAGTTGGAAGCCCATGAAAGTTAAATAATACTTATAAAAATATTAGGAGCAATGCAGGGATCATAGGTAAGTGACACACAAAACATAATACATGCTAAGAATCTGCATATGAGAGAAATGTTCACTGCCCATTTTATTGGAAAAGAATATTTATACTACTAAAGTCCCAGAGGATTTCCAAAAAGTCTGATGTGCTGTCAAGATAAAACTCCATAACATTCTAAGTTATTGTTTAATCCACTGAACAACTCACCTCTAAGAGGAATGTGCCATATTTTAAATATGTATACATCTTTTTAAAAATTCAGCTTCTTTTTCAATTATTAATTATTCATCTATTAATTATTAATTATAGGATGTATTATTTACAGAACATAATCCAGCTCCAATGTAAAATGTTATTAATCTGGTATTCCTAATATATTTATACCTTGGTAGTTGAGTGCATACTGATAAGAAAAAGGTTAGTTGACTTTCTTTCTCAAATGTAGTTCAGTTAAAACCCATTTAAGAAGCATTGCAGAAAATATGAATAGTTATGCTATGGGTGAAATCCAAACAGGACAAGAAGAATTGCTCATTAACTGTCTGCTGCATAAATTAATGGTAAACGGGTAGATGGATCAATGAAAGAACTCTAAATATTAAATGCCAGGATCTCCATGTTTTCCCATGTATAGCTATGTTCAGAGGTCATATACAAAATATTTAAAAAGTGTTACCACACAGGCATGGAAAAGCCAGAGCAGATGCTGCGGTAAAGCACCTCCAACTCTCCCTGCCTAAAAGGATCAACTGCCATTACTGCATCATTGAAAACATTCAATTATGGTAAATTATCACTTCTATCACTTCTAATGTACTAATGTATTAAGATAGTTTTTATTGAACTACAATTGTGGATTATGATATTCTTAATTTACTTTTGCTATGCAATACATTGACTTAACAGAATTTTTATTTCTAGACTTCACTTTGTGTGCCACAAACTGTCTAGAATACTGGTTAGAATCTCTTAGCAATGGAAGGTAAAAGCCCATGTGGCTGGAATATGAGGCATTCCTAGTCTGAGTCCTTTGGTGAGCTCTTGAGCTTTAGGTTAAGATTAAATTGAGAGACTATGACATATCTTCTTCCATGTCTCTTCTGTAGATCTGTAGTCTTGAGCAGAAGTCAATTGCAAAGCCATTATGAAGGCCATTAGTTAGTCAAAGAAATGTGATAAAAACAAAATCTCTTTTGGTGTAATGGAGTGACACCCCACTCTACCCCTGCAAAAAAAAATAAAATCAAGATCATTTAAAAAATGATCCATAACAGGTCTGTACTGACCCACCTGCTCTGAAGCATTATAAACTTAGGAACTAATAGATTAGAGCMGGGTTTTCTTCCCTTAAAATTAAAAGCTACAGAACTTACCCAYGCTTTGTTTCATGTTCTGTTTTCCTTCCTGGGACAATCTGAAAGCCCCAGAAGTATTCAACATGGTACTGGTCATGGGCAGATTAAGGGCCATCTTAGCATTATGATAGACTCCTGTTTCTTATTGTGCCATTCAGCAAAAGAAATAGAGACTGAGCAAAAAATGATAGAGAAATAACTAGTTCCTGGCACATACCATGTCTTTTTTTATGTCTAACTCAAAACTCTACTAGTCCCTAAGTCCATTAGAGAGCTTGTGGCTGCTCTAGTCTCAAAGCCCTCCATGCCAATTGTATAAAACTTGTCATTAGCTCACAGTTCCCCCAGGACTCCTGCCTTTTTATGGGCTGTGTCATGTGATTGGAATGCCCTTCCTCCCCACTGCCTACCTCCTTCAAATTCCATCTCAAAAGTTCCAAACAGGACAAAAAGAATTGCTCATTAACTGTCTGCTGCATAAATTAATGGTGAGCAGGTAGATGGATGAATGAAAGAACTCTAAATATTAAATGCCAGGATCTCCATCTACATTACGGGCTGAGTCACAGACTTGACTTTATTGATAAATTAAAGATGCCATAATGTAGGCAACCTAAATTACTGTTCCCTTTCTAAGAGGTGATGGTCCAAGGTATTTTTCCCTTACTTGAGAGCTGTTATGAAACTGCACATGCTGCACCCCAAACCGAGAGACTGAAACTGCCTCATCCCAGTGTAGCAATATTCTCACCCTGATGGTAGTATGTACATTTGGAATACCCCTTGCACAACACCCAATTTTGTTTTCCCTAAGAGTTATCCAAAGAATTCTCCTTAGCTTTTGAACCATGAGCCTGGTCCTAACGTTTGTGATCTGGCTTCAAAGCCAGCAGACCTGTTTTGACAGGAATGTACTCTTTGAGACTCCTAAGTCTGTGCTAAACTCAGGTGAGCCCTTTCTGCAACTGCTTCTCTCCATAAAAAGAAAAGCTGTAGCATTCTTTCCTACTGGCTAACACCTCTATGCTAGAATTTGGCTGTAGTAAATCCTGAAGTGTTAATCTATGAAAGATCTGAATTTTTGAAAACTCATTTTATTTTATTCAAGAATTCAGATCTCTTCCTTCACCAGCTACAAGAGAAAAATGACCTCTTCAGAGATGCAGGTTGATTCAGACCATGGCACTCTCCAGGGGACAGTCCCTGTCCAGCTTGCTTATCCATTGGCAGCAGTCTTTCCAGGATTGATTTATTTTACACTCACACATCAGGCAAACGCTCATCTCTCTCCTGTCAAAACTTGAACAACCTCCTGGGTTATGTCAGAACCACCTTCTAGTTTTTATGTATTCTCTGAAAGTTTAACCATTTCTGGGGACTCAAACGCCAGGCTTGTTTCAACTATTACTGTATCTACAATGTGAAGAATACTTGTCAGCAGTTATCCCTGTACATCAGTGTTCTTTATGACTAGTGTGTAACACCAACATAACTGAGCATCAACATTATGCCAGTATACAGAAAAACAGTTACATTAACAACATAGTACTTAGCCATAATATTTCCATAAATCTAAAAACTTCAAGATAAACTACCTATACATCAGCAGTTTTGAAAAAACTCCATGTAGAAATCTGATACACTGGTTCTCTCACTAAAGTGACAAAAGTGATACAGTGAAATGAATAAAATAATTCACAGATGGGAAATATTTTCAAATACACACTTACCCACTATGCTTCATGTGTGGTGGTTTTTCCATTCGCACTGCCAGTTTGATTTTTAAGTCATAGTCCTGACTATTTTTTGGAACTATCATGCGGTGTAGTTCAGCTGACTTGGAGCTATTAGAAGTTGGGTATAATATCACCTGTAAAGGACAAAAAAAATTAAAGTGTGTGGAGTTTATAATACAGGGCATCTATGAACTGAAACTGGAATCTATTCTATACATTTTCCTACTTGTGAAGAGGGTGTCAATGCCCAAACATATCTAATAAACTATTTGACTGTCTCCTTCCACAGCAGATTGGTTTTTCATATAGACTTTTATCTTTGACAAGTATGTGTGTTCATATTATTTCATAATGCATTTTCTTCTAGTGCCACTTTATAATAAATTAATAGTACAACAAGCTACAGTTGAACTGGCAATGAAAAATACTTAATATCCATAAAAATACTTAATATCCTATAATTTCAAGACTATTTAAAACTTCTTAGGGCCAAGAAGTTCAGAAAGAAAGATTCTTCAAAACTGCAGATAACATGCTTATAAAGCAAAACCAATTATTGATGCTGTACAAACATGCTCATGTTTCAATATTTTCTTTATAAAATAGCACTAAAGGAAATCAATGAGAGATGGACAAGAATGATCATAGCACATTTTCTGCTCTAGATCAATACAAAGAAAAGATCTTCCTGACTAAGGTTTCCCAGAAACATACAGATGAACTATAATTAGTGAAACAACATAATTATTTTAAATACACTGCCAAGTTACCAAGTAATTTTTTTGAATTTAATTTTTTTAATTAGTTATACTTGACAGCAGTATGCATTTCATTTCATTGTACACAAATGGAGCACAACTTTTTTTCATTTCTCTGGTTGTATAGGATGCCGAGTTGTACCATTTGTGCAGTCAAACATGTACCTAAGGTAATGATGTCCATCTCATTCCATCACTTTCCTATCCCCATGTTCCATCCCCTCCATCCCTTCCTTTTGCCCAATCCAAAGTTCCTCCATTCTTCTCATGCCCCCTCCCCTCATTATGGATAAGCATCCACTTATCAGAGAGAATATTCAACCTTTGGGTTTTGGGGATTGGCTTACTTTGCTTAGCATGATATTCTTTGCTTAACATGATATTCTCCAACTCCATCCATTTATCTGCAAATGCCATAATTTTATTCTCTTTCAGTCAGAATGACTATTATTAAGAATATAAGCAATAATAAGTGTTGGTGAAGATGTGGGGAAAAAAGCATACTCATACACTGCTGGTGGCACTGCAAATTGGTGCAATCACTCTGGAAAGCAGTACAGAGATTCCTTAGAAAACTTGGAATGGAACTACCATTCAACTCAGCTATCCCATTCCTTGGTCTATATCCAAAGGAGTTAAAATCCAGCATACTATAATGACATAGCCACACCAATGMTTATAGCAGCTGAATTCACAATAGCTAAATTATAGAATCAATCTACATGTCTTTCAATAAATGAATAAATAAACTGTGGTATATATACACAATGGAATATTACCCAGTGATTATTTTTTAATGTTTAGAAAAATCAACCCAAGAAAGGAAAGTCCGTTCTTCATACATTAGGTGCCACCCAGACAAGCCATCTTTTCACTCAGACTTAACCCTGCTYAAACAGAGCYCATGTCTAAGCCTYACTGGGGCATTTAAAACAAAAGCACTAGCCAAGTGCAGTGACATACACCCACTGGCTGGGGAGGTTGAGGCAGGAAGATTTAAAGCTCAAAGCCAGCTTCAGCAACTTAGCAAGTCCCTAAGCAACTTAGCAAGACCCCACCTCAAAATATAAATAAACAAACAAACAAACAAATAAATAAATAGAGCTGGGATGTGGTTCATGGGTCATGTTCCCCTGGGTTCAATCCCCAGTACCCCTCCAAAACAAACAAATGAACAAACAAGGACCCGATAAAATGGAAGTACTACAGCCTGAAAGATAAACCAAGGCATAAAGTGCAACATACTATAAGTCATTTTTAGCTTAAATCAACAGGGAAAGCAAATAAACCTCAAGTGCGGGTATGAATGGAGAACTACTAACATGCACAGGTATGTGAAGATGTTTTTAAAGCATACATGGCAGCTGAAGTTTTTCTTCCTTCCCCTTCAAAAAAACCTTCATTTCCATGTATAAGTGAAAGTAGTTACTGAAAATCTTCAAACAAGGCATTCTTTTTCTTTAGGAAAGACAACACCATCACAAAACCTTCTCAAACTATCCTCAACTTGTGAGTTGTTAAATGTAGCCRCTATTTTTAGACTTTTCTCAAGCCTTTCCTAAAAGTCATTGCTCTGATGAGTCTGGCACATCCACAGTCTGAAGCACACAAAGGACATTTAAGAACAGACAGAGGGCTGGGGATGTGGCTCAAGTGGTAGCGCGCTTGCCTGGTATGCGTGTGGCCCGGGTTCGATCCTCAGCACCACATACCAACAAAGATGTTGAGTCCGCAGAGAATTAAAAAATAAATATTAAAAATTCTCTCTCTCTCTCTCTCTCTCTCTCTCTCTCTCTCTCTCTCTCTCTCCTCTCACTCTTTCTTAAAAAAAAAAAAACAGAATGGCATGTGCCTTGTTTACAAAATTGTGATCATACTCTAAATCTGATTTGTTTGTATTGCTAAAATACCCAGTAGAACATTTTACAGATTCTGAAATGATGGTAAAGAAAAAAATAAGTTGATAGCTTTTGGCTTATACCAGTAGACCAAGGAATAGCTTTATCAACTTACAAGCTAATTCCAAAAGAACAATAACAAAAACAAAATCAAAGACTAAGAGCTACACATTCTCTCTAGCTATGATATTCCTAGCAAGTCTGAGAGGCTTTTCCTCTCCTCCTCCCTATACATTCTTTAAAATATATATACGTATATATATTTTGGCAAGAGCCACCTACATACAGGCTTTATCCTTTTAAAACTCTTCCTTCTATGTTTATTTAAAATTGGTATTATTCCAATTTTAAAAGTCTTATACAGGAAATGAATACATAATTTTTTTAACAATTTCTCCTTCTCTAAATGCTAACAATAAGTTACTAAATGAGGACCCCAAATAACTGGTTATAGCTGATCTGCAAATTAAGAATCACCCCAATATTTCATACAATTATTTCTCTCTCATTTTTCTGATAGACATTTCTGACCAAAGTCAGTGAAAGGGCTTATGATTTAGCTCTCTTCAGTTAAATAACATAGGAGTGCTCATTATGTGGATATATACTCAGGTGAAAGAATATAAACCCCTCAAGGAGCCCACAGTCTTTTATTACCAGATTCTCAGCTCTGATMACATCACATCTGCCTATTATCATTCTGTCTCTAGAATATGCAGCAGTTACTTGTTGTTGCTAATCTTGGAGTTTCTTTGACATGTCTGTTTAGTTTCTCTGTCCAACCATAGGTAGAATTAATTTTCTGTGTTAAGGTCCCTCCATTTGAAAAGCCTGGCATGGTTTCTGTTTTTCTGGAGAGACTGATAAAGTTGTGAACAATGGCACATGTAGCAGACAGGCCCACAGATAATGAAACCTATGTTTCTAAGAGAATTGCACTGGAAAATCCACCCTGAACTTATTCTCCCTTAGACTTCCAAATTGCACATATAGAAAGTAGTCTCAACTTTTTATGTGATTTAGCTGTAAATGCTAATAAGCAAGGAAGAATCTCCCAAGGCTCAGAGCTCCAAGGGCCCTGGATAATACAAGACAAAGGAGTTCAATATACAATACAGGTCTAATCAAGAGGTCTTGAACACCTCCAGGAAAGGGGTCTTAACAGGATTTCATTGTTGGTATTGAATAATTACTGCTATATKTCTCTCATTTTCCACTTTTCAAATGGGAAACTTAACTGTAGCTCTTCTGTCCCTGCTGTACTGTTGTACACTGGATTTGTGTTAGGGAAGGATGGGAGGTAGAGAGGAACAGTAGGCAGGTAGCATGAACTTTCGTTTACAGGTTGTCATGATGCAAAGAGCAATAGCTAAACCTGGTATAGATGCTAGACTGCATGTAAGAATGGGTTAGGACTTGGGGCTGTTTCCCCTGAATGTGTTCTATATACAGAAGAAAGGATAACAAAGCTATCTGGTAACTAGTGGGATGAACTACAGCAGATCAAGTAACTCTTCACCAGGATTCATGCTTTCATAGTATACAACTGGTGCTAGTAAGCAACTGGTCAGTCAAGGACTGTATTTTCTGGCTCCTCCTGTATCTGAGTAGGAACATGCAAAAGTTCTAGGTAATGAAGTGTGAAAGAGAAGTGATACATGTGTCACTTTGGGGAATATGATTAATACACAGGTTTACCTTCTTTATCCCTCTCACCTCTGTCAGTTGAATGCAGAGAACACCAAAGCCATAGGAAGTGAAAGAAACAGAAGAAACCAGAGCCCCCAATCACCATGTGGAAGAAAGTCACCCTTCTCTCTGGAACACCCATGGTAAACACTCATTTTAGTAATATTGTTTTGAATACCTGAAATATTGTCATTTGCTTGTTAGAGCATTTAGTAGTATCCTTTTTGTTAGAGAGAGAGAGAAGAGAGAGAGAAAGAGAAGTTTTTAATATTTATCTTTCAGTTTTTGGTGAACACAACATCTTTATTTTATTTTTATGTGGTGCTGAGGATCGAACCCAGTGCCCTGCACAYGCCAGGYGAGTGCGTTACCGCTTGAGCCACATCCCCAGCCCAGCATTTAGTAGTATCTAACTAGAAATATTAAGACTGTTTGCTTCATAAATCTTTAATTTGTACCTAAGTGTTTAAAGAATTAGTTTTTCATGATAAGCAATTCCACTTTAATAGGACGTAATTTGTGTACAGGCTGATATGTCTGTTGTTGATTGTCTGAGTAATTAAAATATTTAACAGATTAAAAAATTTATTAGAGTTTTTTTGTATAACTTCACAGCTAAATTACATTATAACTCTGTACAAAATAGTTAACTTATTATCGAGCAAACTATTTTGTTCTTTGCTATTTTTTCTCTTAACCTTTATACATTTCTGCTTCAAGCTTATTTTTGTTACCAACACATTAAATGTCTTGTCAGTTAGCATGACACTTTTTAAAAATGATTTCTTA